CTAATTTTTATTTATGAAGTAATAACTAAACGTGGGATAAATTCTGTGCAAATGAGAAATTTTATTACAAATATTTGATGACCATTATTTAAAAACGAATGGATCGAACTTGTCAAATCGTTACAACTGGCGTGTAAAGTATTTGAAGTGAAGTATTGGGAAAAGAAATTCCGAAGAAGAATTAAAAATGGCAAAAATTTAGAATTTGACAGCGTTGCCTCTCAAAATGAAATTGGAAGAGCGAGGATTGTCTACGACCACAAATAACCCGGAGCCACAGTCACGGCTGTGCGAAGCTGTGGGGACGAGGGCATTGATTGAGCTAATATAAATTTCGTCGCCAAGACGAGGGTATATCCACCAACGGTAAAGAAAAATAAGAATTTGTTGATTCTGCAAACTATTTAGAATAGCCATTAACTAGCGATGAAGAAAAGGTTCTTAGCTCATCTGCATGTATACACCTGAATTCCTTTCCTGGTCCTTAAACTTCAGATCAAAAAATCGCTACAACAAGTAACCGTAATTGCGTTAAAATTAGCAGCGTTTCCGTACATTAGATTATAAATATGACGCAATAATGCAAATAAGCTCTTCATAAAAAACAGCCAGCCGTTCGGAGGCATCTTAGCATACACTGTATGTCCCTTCATTTGTTGGAAAAACATTCAGATACAAAACCACACATTGGAGGAGAAGCTTGGTAGAAAACCGCTTCAGCGGTTACAAAACGCCATTTATATATGTATAAATATAATGCAAGCCATAGCCACTGTGGTAGTGGGCACAATGGTCAAAGGCATCGGATGGAGCTGGAAGTCGCCATCGAAAACTTAATGAATCTAAGCGGAGTTCATCAAGTGAGAAGTGCACATGAATCCAAAGTCAATATTTTATGAAACAGTGCATATGCTCAAACATGTAAAACGCTGGCACTCTTAAGTAAACGTGCCCACGCGAATACAAGATGAGCTCCAAAATACAAAAAAGGATTGCAACAGCGCAAGGCTGAGGAAGATGAATCATCATCCAAACAGTCGTTAAACTAAAACAAGACACCTATAAGAGCACAGCGCTGGCTTCTGCAATTTAATGTCAATAATCCGTCTCGCAAATTGGTGAGAAAGGTGACAACATTGTTATTGGTGAATATGAGGGAATACTAACTATGGAAAAGGGCGCATCACACCCCATCATTGGATCTAACTTGATCACAACGATGTAAGGTGAAATTGTAGAAAAAGATGCATGGCAATAGGGTGGTGTTACACAAGTTCATAGTTGCGCTGATTGTATTTAAGGTCATTATAGCAATAAAGTGCTTGCTTGTCCAAGGCATAAGATCGACACCCATAACCTAGCTATGTATTAAAAAAGCATTGAAGTGCCACTTAATATTAGCTATAAAAGCTCAATGTCAAGCCAATCGTCCTTGAAGACAGCGAAAAGATCTTAAACAGTAATTTGCGTAAAGAAATAAATAAGTAAATGAACTCAACTCACCAATAAGACTTCGAAGGTAAACTGTATTAGGCCAATGTAAAGCTTTACTAAGTGCTCCCTTAGCGAAATAATGAAAGAAATGAGCGACTGTGATAGTATCGAACCTCCAGCAAGTCTATACAGTTCGTAGGTAGTACTTATGAAAAATACAATAGAGCAGGCCAGTTGCGGTTCTCCTGGGACTATCAGAGACTAAATGATGTGACAAAAAAAAGCTATCCACCAAGGATCGATGATGTTCTGGACTCGTATACTGGCACAAAACACTTGACCTTAAGAGCGGTGATTTGCAAATGGAAGTAAGCGAGGAAGATAAAGGGAAGACAGCCTTTAATGCTGCAAATGATCTTTGGTAATACACAGTGATGCTCCTTTTATTATGAAACACTCCTTCCAATTGCCATATCTTAGTGGTTCATGTGCTTAAAGAGCTACATTGGAAACCATTTTTGGGGTAACTAGTTCTTTATGTAGCAACAAAGGGCTTCTTCACTGCAAAAGAAAAGATGAATGTAGTGAATGATTGGTCAAAGCCTAGGAATTTGATTGAGTTACGGAATTTTCTTGGGTTATACACATCGCACATTTCACGCCCGATTTCGTTATCAACCAAATTGATTCAATGGTCGCAACGTGTGCATAATTTAAACCCATATGCATAACACATAGATGAAAATTGCAAGAGAATTCATCATTAGAACTCATTTATGTTTATCGATAGTGACAAAAATGTAATTCAAAGTAATATTATCCATCTCATTTAAAATTATATTGCTTCCTTAAATTATGCAAGAACCGCAAAACTAATGTGCGCTTAGTACTACTACTAATATTTTATAAAATTTGATTGTTAGCTTTCTTGGCAAATTTTCCTTTTCGAAACATTTGCAGCTAATTTTCTTTTTATGTGACAGTTCATTATTGGAGTTTTTTTAACCTTTGAGGCTTACAAACAACAATCACATTTAATATCCTATACAAATTCGTGCCGCGATAGCCGAGTGGTTAAAATTGCATACTGCCATTCGATAGGCCCGAGCTCGAGTCCTGGTCTGACCGATCTCCAAACATTAAAAAAAAATGCAAATAAAAATTTAAGTTAAATTTTCTCCCCTCGGCATCAACATTTCGGCTTTTTAGAAAGACATCAAGACGGAGGCTGCAAAGTGCCAATTATAAATAATTATGGAAAAGCAACTCTGAATAAACTTCAAAAAAGCGGAATAGTAGCAGCAGATTTTGTAAGAGTAATAGAATACTGCTAAAAGTAGGCTCTTACTAGACCATAGCGCTAACTCAGGACTATGATTATGTCCCATATTGTTTTTGTGTTTTTGTTTACACCACAAATTGAAGAAACAGTTCGGCCAAGAATAGCTTCAGCGGTTACTAACTCTAATTATATATATGTATGAGGCGACCAACTAATACTAAGCTTGAATGGATGACTGAATAGAATACTTTAAAAATGTTTAATAGAAATTACACAATCTCATGGAGTACAAAATTTGTATGCCAGTACAAAAGTACAAAAATTTAGTACACAAATTGGAACAGCTGAAGCCGAATTGGCAAATGGCATTTATTTAACGGTAAACTCTCGACGTCCTCTGAATAATATTTCGCAATAGCAACTTTATCTTATTAGAACTGTCTTAGAATTCCATGCGGACGAAGTCAAGGGCTACCTCTTGCAGAATATAAATGAATAATTGTAAAACTGAAAACCAGAATGTGATATAAAGTGAAATCGTTAACGTTATTGCGTTCAAGTGAGTATAGATCGGTATTTTGTTGATAACAAACCATGGTTGTTATACTATAGCATCATACTTAGCCTAGAAGTTAAAAGCTTACAACCCAATTCCCAGAGGCAACTAAATTTACTGATTACAAACGATCAAGTTTTCAATGAATGCTAATTGGCAGGCATGTAGTAGGCATGTTCCACATTTCACTTTGGAGTAGATGTCAGCAACTGTTAGATGTCAGCAACTGTTTGTAACTTAAAGGAAAAATGTAATGTAATGTAAACATTAAAGCATTTCAATTACTTCTTGTAATAGAAGCATTCTGGTTTTATTACGTTCATATACTCGTATCTTTCTGTATGCCTTATATCATTGCTTAAACTTCCATGTTGTTTTGATGCTCACTTGTTATCATGTGTAAGCTAACTCTTCGCCCACTCCCTACGTCTTTCCGAAGGCAGAATATTGTGGCGAAAAACTGAAACTCGCAAAATTCATTGCCTTGGAATTATATTTCGATTTCAGTCAACCGAAAAATCTACTCAGGAATCAAGTAGCAGATTAGATTTCCTTAGGCCGACGTTATGTTTCTTTAAAAAAATTTAATTCATTTTAAGTAAGATATAAAGCACCACTTGTCTAAGATAAAAACATACAAAACTCGTATGGATATTTAAACACTTGCCTAAAAATAACTGATTCGATGAAAATAATTGTTAAACTATAAATAACTTATAAAAAAATTCAGAGTTTATTAGTATTCGCAAGTGATTATTCACTCAATTGTTTTTAACAAAAACCAATCAGCCAAATATTGCACAGGTGGTTTTGGTTCAGCAAATACACTACGCATTATGCTTTTTATTCAATAGCTTCTAGAAGGGGTACGAAACAAATTAAAAATGTATTTTCGAGTACGATTACTTACTTATACACCTTCACTTTACTACCAGCCTTCTTATTGAAATAAATTTGATCTTTACTTTAAATGTTCAATACGTACTGGAATGACTTCGTATTACATATGTATGTATGCATGCATTATATGTATTAAAAATAAATACATATGACTTTAATTATGTAACCTATATATTGCTGCTTTTGTTATAGTAAATATTTCAAGACTGTACATAAATATAATTGACTTTATCAATTTTCCATGATAAGCATAATTACATAGTTTGGAAATAAAACACATATAATTTTCACTATTATTTATCATTTAAGTTTAAAATCAAATAAATTGCCTGACTCGATCTTTGCTTTCCAACTCTTTTTGTTTTTTTAACGAGATAGAATAATCAATATAGCCTTGTTGTTTTTACATAAATTTTACTTTTTATTAATCATTGTATTTGCTCAGTTCGATCCTATTTAAAGATAACGTAGTAGGCAAACATTCAATACAAATCAAGTAGGATGCAAGAAAAAACAATTTTTTTTACATATTTAGCTACATATACATATAAGAGATTTATTAATAAATTTCGTAAACTTGGTTGTATTTTTACCCTTTTCTCAAATAATAGATAGTTGAAAAGGGTGTACAACAATTTGCGCACAACATGTATTTTTATGCACTTTTTTATCTTCAATAATATTTCGTATTTTTGATTCCAATATTTTATTCTTTTCGATATTCTTAATTATTTTAATTTTTAATTTGAAATTGTTTTAATTACTCTCCTTTAACACAAATTAAATATTTTTTGTCCACATCATTTTTAATTTGGAGTCTACTCTTTCTTTTTTTGGCGCTTATTAGACTTCTTTTCTTTTGCTTATGAATGAATATTGTGTGTAAGTAAATGACCAAATTTTGCTTTATTTTCTGTGTTTATTTAAGAAAAGATTAGATGACGTTTGCATTTAATCTTTAAATGTTTCTAAAGCACCGGCAGCTTTCAAACGTTATTGAAAAGTTATAACGTACATAAATATTACTGAATCAATTACATTACTATTTTTGAAAGTTTGATGTGGTTTTTGATCAATCAAACAAAATGTTTCCTCGTAATAGCAGTTCACTTATTCGCATTAAACATTCTTCGTGGATTTTATAACTCGATTAAAACAATTATCATTTATTTTAAGAAGTAAATAACGGTGCTAATAAATTTGATATTGCAATTTTTTCGGTTTGATTGATAATGATATAATTGTTTTGAATTATTGGTGTTGTTGGCCAGCTCTGCAGCTTTTATTATTATGTATGCATGTTTATATTTATCTATTTCAGCCGGTCAGCTACGTTGTGCTACTTATTGCTGTTTTCATCGTCTTAAAACATAAACATTCTACTTTTGTTGTTGGATAAAATCAAATGTTGTTGCACCACTAATTTTACCCGATGCGCTGCGGTGAAAATGTACATTTTGCCACTTACTGTCTCGCTTATGCCACACTCTTGTCTCCTCCGACTGGTGCGTATGTGCGTGTCCTTGTCTATAATAAACATGTGTAATTAGTACGTGCAGCACATGTTACGCACGTACGTTCTATCTCATGGAAGCGTGGCCGGCGGCAGAACACCAGCGTAAATTGGCGTTAGAAATCAAATGTTCAATCCTGAAAGCAGATGTTGCAAGTGCCTACGGAAATTTTACAAAAAGTATTTGAAATGACGTATATACTCTGCAAACATGATTTGTAAATTCATAATATCAAAAGTCAATCAAAGCCAATAAATATATATATAAATCGAACTCTGTTAGAAGCCCTAAGCCTTGTATAACCAAATTCATAATTGGAAAACTTACAAATAGTAAAGCCGAGAGCAATTTCCGGTACTCGTCGTTATAGCCGTTCCTCTCTCAGATGATAACTATACCGTTGTAAGAAGAAAATATTTTGCCGTGAACTTTACCAAGTTTTTTTGTATGTAGATACAAATGAAATGTAAACTCACGCTGGATAAAACAGAAGCGCTATTAAAAATAGAAAGAATATTTCTGAGCTTCGGCTTCGGGAAAGCATTAAAATCTGATGTAGAATCACATTAGCCAAAATGTGCTCTTTCGGACAGGAAAGTAAAGTCCTCCCTCCACGAACGAAGAAAAAGCTCTACAAGTCGCTCTTCTTTCACGTCGTGCTATATAGTGCAAAGGCTCTGACGACTCTGATGATTATATCCGATCAGTGATCATTAGAAGTTTTTGAGACGGGTACATTGGCACAGCTCAAGGAAATAAGCGAAAGCAGATGGACGCAAAAATTTAAAAGAATTCATGCCAGTACCCACTGCAAGGGAAAAAAATCTCCATTCAGCTGAGAAGATCAGGTGAAAATGGGTCTGGCTTCAGCTGTCTCTAGTCGGCGCCAATCAACAAAAACGAGAAATGAATGATGAACTATGCAAATAAAAAGTCGATGTGAAGCATGCAATAAATAAAATCAATTCATAATACAAATCTTTTTTTTATCAAATTGATTTAACATACAATTGTTTCCACAATTACGTCGGCCACACTTTCCACAAGCAGATCGTACTGAAAAAGGAGATTTTGAAAAATGTTATATAACATAATTTGAAATCTGTTTACGTCAATAACTCTAGAGTATTTTTTATAATTCAAATCAGAAAAAAGAATTTTGTAACAATTTTCCCTAAATCAACTAATTCAATCTGTTTCATTTTTAATATATTTATAATTTAGTTAAAATATTGTACAATATTAAAGCAATGTTTGCTACTGCAATAGCATTCAAAGTGCGTTGAAGAATATTATTATAACGAATTTTGTTAGCATAATATTTACAATTGATTATGAAAATATGTGTAAAAGTATTAGAATGTTAAAGTTGTCCATTGAAGATGGGTGCAACTCTTGCGGATAATAATATTGTTAGTTTGACTTTATGAACTGGAAAACTTTGTCCCTTGTAAATAAATGCGAGTCAACTACTTATACTTACTTATCTATGTATTGCGTAAGGCGTACATAAGCAATACATGCAGCATCTTCTCCTAGCAAATGAACATGAGGATTCAGAATTGTAGTGTTGATTGCCTTGCAATTTTTTCCCAATACTAAGATAGGAAAAAATTCAAATAAAGCATTAATGATAATAATATGGTATTTAAAATTAATTTATTAACTTAAAACCTTAATTTATGTTAACAATAAGCACCAAATAATAATATATAATATTTGCGGTTTTAATGGACGACCTATTGCCGTTCATACGGTAAGTTGGACAATAACGGCAACACCTAAATACGAAGTGCAACGCTCTAATGGCAACTATGCAATCTCTTCCATATTAATTAACTTACCGTTTTCATTTGGACGTCAAATGAAAAATATTCAGAATTTGCTAAAAATCCAAATTAATCCTTTAAAATACTGAAGTAAGTAATATTTATTATATCTGAAACTAATTGAATAAATGAAAACAATAGATATTTTAAACATTAATAAGTAAAACTAGGTGGTCTGAAGTTTTGGACGTAGGATATCTAGCTTCGAGTTTTGTCAGTAACTCTCCACGTCCATTACACCAAGCTTGAATTTTAAGTCTTCTTTGAAGAAGGTTCTTAAGTAAACTTATGGTGTAATGGGGTGTAGTCAATATTCTGGGTATGCAGTTACAGTTGCGAGGCTTTACTCGATTCCTAATCTTTCGTTCACGTCGCAATCCCTGGAAACGTGAACAACCCTTGCAGCGTCTGTTCACCAGAGGTTCTTCTGCGAGCGGAAGTCGGTCTTGAAAACTGCTCGCTATATATAATTGTGTAAACACTTTAAATTCACTCGCCAGCGAGGTTGTGCACTGGGTTTGGGACCCGCTACGTAGAAAGCAGCTCCAGCGAAATATGTAACAACGCCTCGGATGAAATACCCCTTTCTGTTGACGACCCCCGCAAACGAATTAAGAATCACGATTTGAGAGCGTGCTCTTGGAATGTACGGCCCCTTAATTGGGAAGGTGCCGCGTCAATTTGGTGTCGGATTTGTAGTGGGAGAGAGACTCCGTCGTCGAGTACTGGCATTCACCCCGGTGGATCAACCTTTCGCAACCATCCGAACCACAACGAAATTTTTCAACAAACCGTTGATTTGCGCCTACACCCCGAATGGCGAGACGGACGATTTTGTTAAAGATGCCTTTTATGAACGCCTAAAATTTACTTACGAGCTTATGCTTTGAGATTTTAATGCCAAGGTAAGCAAAGAAGATATCTATGGTACGACTGTCGGAAAATTCGCATGCGACTTTCTGAATCGAAAAACGCTCATCAACAAACACAAAGTTCGACTTCGAAAAACTTCCACCTCAACAGGCTGCCGAACGATTTTCTACTCGAATTGCACTCCTGCTCTCTGAGAACACTCATAAGCAACTCGGTATAGGGGACCTGTGGGGCTGCATTTCAATTTACCTGCGTACAGATGCAAATGAAACTATTGAATTTCGTAAAGGTTGCAAAAACAGCTGGTACGATGAGAGCTGCCGGGAGAAAACAGACTACCTACCTCGCAACGTTGCGATCGACCACAACACGGGCAGGATGGTATAAATACCGAGAGATGAAGAAGGAAGCAAGACGCATATGTGGACAGATAAAGAAAGTGACCGAGATGCGTGAGTACGAAGAGCTTGAGAAGCTGGCAGACAAGGGTAACGCTTGAAAATTCTATGAGAAGATACGACGACTTACAGAAGGTTTAAAGACCGGAGCAGACTCCTGTAGGACACAAATAGGTTATTTAGCCACCGATGCCCAGAGCATATTGAAATTATGGAGGAAACACTTCTCCAGCCTGAATAGCAGTGAAAATGAAACAACCGGAGATGGGGAGGCCGAAACCCCATGCATGCATGCCCAAAAAATGGAAATGTGCTGTGCCCAATCCACAAAAAAGGGGACCTCCACAGTCTGCGCTATTTATTGTGAGATAAGCCTCCTCAATATCGCCTTTAGAATCCTGTCGATCGTACTGTGTGTAAAGCCCACCGTCAACAAACTGATAGGATCTTATCATTAACCATGCGCCAAATCTTGGAAAAGACCCGTGGAAAGACGATTGACACACACCACCTCCTCGTCGATTTTAAAGCCGCCTCCGACAGAACGAATAGGAGCTGCTTTTACGCCGCTATGTCTGAATTTGGCATTCCCGCAAAACTTATGCGGCTATGTTTACTGACTTTTAGCAATAATAAAATAGGCGTAACCTGTAGAGCCTTTCGATACCAAACGAGGTTTCAGACAGAGCCGAACTGGAGAGCTGAATAGAAAAGGTACAATCTTCTATAAGAGTGTACAGCTGCTGGCATTCGCAGATGATATTGGCATTCGATATTGGCCTCGAAATCCACGCGGTGCGCTCTGCTTTTTCTAAACTGGATAAGGAAGCAAAGGATATGGATCTGGTAGTGAGCGAGGTAGTCATCAAACAGTCATCACATTTGCGGCATAGCTCTCATATCACTGAAGTCATAGTCATAACTTTAAAATCCTGGATAATTTTGTCTATCTAGAAACCAATATAAACACCAATAATAACGTCAGCCTTGAAATCCAGCGCAGAATCACTCTTGCCAACAGGTGCTACTTTTTACTGAATAGGCAATTGAAAATTTAAGTCCGCACCTGACGAACGAAAACCAAACTTTACAAGTCCCTCATCATTCCCGACGGCTACATGGTGCAAAAGTATGAATGATGGCAAGATTTGATGAGTCGGTAAGCGCGAATATCGCAACCGATGACATAGTTGAGTGAATCAAGAAGCAGCGGCTACGCTGACTAGGTCTTTTGGTTCGGTACCATACGAATACTCCAGCTTTGAAAGTTTTCGATGCAGTACCTGCTGGTGGAAGCAGAGGGAGAGGAAGACCTTCACTCCGGTAGAAAGATCAGGTAGAGAAGGACGAGGGTGTACTTGATATTTCCAATTGGCGCCAAACAGCAAAAAGAAGAAACGGATGGCTAGAATCGCGTCAGCGGTGTCTACGCCAGTAATGTAGGTAAGTGAGTGAAGTTGATGAGCGCAGAAATAGAAGAGAGACTAAACCTAAAGGGAACTTCATAACCCTTATGCTTGAAATGGATTGCGAACGTCCATTATTATGGTGAAAACTCTCAAGTCCTCGAAATGGAATACTGAAAGGCGCTTCATGTTTGAAAAAAGTACGAACAGTGAAATGACTTGAACAATCACTGCAGACACTACATGCCAGACGACTTCAAGCTTACTTTTTTTCCACCAAATTTAAAACCACTAATCGGTTTAAACAACAGCGAAAGTTTCGACAGCGACTTAATTTCTGTGTTATATAATGTGTCCCAAATCCTTCTTGCAAGAAGTTTGGACCCAGGCTGCGGCTAGAATGATAACTTTCCCGATGAACACAACAACACCTGGCTGAAATAGGTTCACGTACTCTCTATGGTGAAGAATTTGAGAATACCCCGTTGCTGCTTACTAAACTTTGAGTTCCGAATCCAAACTAGAAATGCACGTCTTCGTTGATTCAGACGAAAACGATTAAGCTGCTAAATATTATCTTCTCACACTCTGAGCGGCGTAGTAGACTGTACTACAATAAGCAGCAAGGTACTGTCATAGGCGCACGATTGACTGCAGGCGTGCTCATTTCCTACACGCCCATCAACAAACGTCAAACTTTCTAGACCGGCTGTCGCACGTTTTTGTAATGGATTCGTTCTGGTCACCTACGCATCTCACAATTTGCGGCCTTTAGGTTCAGCAAAATTCTTGAGGCAACTGCCATGGAGATTGGCCTTGGATTCCTTCAGTCGAAAAAGTGGACGGCGACGCTACAAAATGGCAAACTACACGTAATCTTCAGCTCGAAACCGCTGGTTCAACGTTTCCTAATTCGCAACTATATGGAGGACACTCAAAATACTTGATAAAAATTGATAGCTTTCACCGTCCATGTGGCCGTCTCCTGCAAGCTACTATTTTTCTAAACGTCCGCATCTGGAAGATATATCCACAGAGAAACCGAGCGTGTCCTATGATACCTTCTGCGGAAGTAATTCCAATGTGATGAGCCTCCCAACGAAATTGTTCGGCGCCGCAAAGGGAAACCAGTCGCTTTTACTTTATTTTCATATAAAAGTTGCATTCTGAAAGTTGTGAATGAAATACGCCAAAAGGTTTGGATACCCCGACTACGTCCTGTTTTAAGCGAGATACGATGAGAATGTTAGCTTGCTGTCAACATAGTGTTATTCCACGCACACGAAAGATAAGTGTTCTGACTATTTCCAGAGTATCGACCAACATATGGCCATTTTCGTTATTGGGAGTTGATTATTTCGGTATGCTCTTAATTTGCCTCACAACGAGAGTCGTGCATTTAGAGTCATACTCATTATCGGACGATTCAGGTATCGTACGCGTTCGCAGCCTAGCCACATGGAACTCGAAATTTGAAGTTGCATAATCATTAACTTCAAGGCTGCACTCCGTAAAGAACATCCTGCAAAAGATATCACAGTCACATCGTCCCTCTGAAATATTACTGAATGGCGCCCTAATAGAGATTGAGGGTTATAAACTTACGACCGCTCACCTGCATGCCAACGATCATTGTGAAGACGACGCTCTCACACCATCCTATTACGTAGCTCTAGTGTCATGAAACTTTCAGTACCGTTTGACAACGATGTGGCTAAATTGCGAAGAGGTTGGCTATGTGCACAACAATTAGCTGATTTATTCCGGAGGTGCTGGTTTCTTGAGGACCTACGCAAAACTATGCCATGAACTAAACGGTTCAAAAAGGTGAAGCCTATTGAAAAGAGAGAACGTTAACATCGGTTATCCCAATAGACCTAGGAACTGCTGGATTGGCTTATCCAACGGTTCTATGTAAGTTAGAATTTGGTCGAATATTTTAATTTACTTTGCACTGTATTATGGTTGTAGTTGAGATTAACTTCAATTTTACTTTTCTAAAGAAAATGAACCATAGATCAACGAAACACGTTTTTATTTGAAAATGAAGCAGCCATGGAATTTTTATGTGTGACGACAATTCAAGTGGTGG